AAAAAAAAAGAAAAACAAAAAAATTTTTTTGAATTTTCTCTTCACATTATTACGTAGAGCTGAATTTGGATGGAGCAGAAATGGGGAAGTAAGTGCAATTAATCGATTTAGATTTGAATGCTAAACTCGTAGTTAGTGAAAAACAGAGAAGTTCTTAAGAGGGACGGTTGAAGATATTCAGCGTACAGAGTAGCTGAATTTATTGCTTTCTGTTACGTGTCTCTGTCTGCTTCTGGTACATTCCTGCCCAGTTCGCATAATGAACTGAACTTTTAATGATAGTGAAGTATAGCTAGTGGAAATGAAAGAGCGAGTTGTGTTTGTTAAAATTGTAGAAAAGCAAAAAGAGTCAATTCTGGTATGTAGAGCTAGACAAATTCAGCTTTACTTCGTTTTGCTATTTTTTTTAAAATAATAATTGTTCGCAGTTGTGGATTTACTCTTACTGGTTCGGTACTAGCATTTTCTTGAACTTGTAATTTATATTCTTCACAAATATGGGTATTGTTTCACATTCCGCTATGTATTGATCTTCTTGTTGTCAGGAATTTTAATTATGACCACGATAATGAATGTCGAAGTCCAACCCGGCTTGATGCAGAATATGGCTTTTCGATTGAAATTCATTCAGTTGCTGGGAAATTAATGCACCTTAATGTGCAGTCGTTGTGCTTTCGGTGGTTTTTCTAAGCTTTCAAGTATAGCGACAGCCGGGTTTAGCAATTTTGTTTTATGCCGAGGTTCTGGATGAAATTGATTTTTGTTTTTTGGCTACTTTGTTTTTGATGGTTTTGTATTTGTTTGAGATGAATTCGGTTTTCTGTGTTAATGTGTCTGTTCAACTGTAATTTTCCTCATCTGTGTATTTGCTTGTTTCAATTTTTGCCTATTATTTGTTTAGGCTGTATTTATATTCTTTTTGAATATAAATACAGAGCCACGATGCCCCATTCTTCATTTTCTGCGGATTTTTTTTTGGCTTTCAACGACTATGAAATTCTCCTAAGCTTTCAAATTTGCTATCAGCAAACGTGTTGGAACTTTATATGTCAAGGAAAGCCTTTGGATGAAATTGGATTAAAGTC